GCCATTGTGTCGATCGTTGAATTTATACTGCTTCCCTTTAAGACGCCATAGTTTGGCAACGGCGCCACAGCGCTCTCCCTGATCACTGACGATCGAATGCTGTTATCTCTGCATAATCCATAATCGTCCATTCGACATATTACGAACAGTAATACTAACACAAGTGTAAAGACGGGAATCAGCCAGATTTTAATCATTTTCGAAGCCTGTCATTTCTTCGGAATCCAAGAGAATGCACATTGATAAACAGCACAGATGGCTCGACCACATAATAAGAAGAACAGTTGAAATATGGGTAAAAATAGCAGTCTTGGGGACCGAAAGAACTAAGGTGTCCTCTTGAAAGTTCACTTAAACGAGAGGCGACGCGTTCATGGCTAATTCGCTGGTGATAACGATTTTGAGGACTACGGAATGTGATTCGCGGGCGCAACCATGTTCCAAAGCGACGATTGCGTTAGATAGAAACAAGAGGAAATTATGCTGCCCCGCGTGAGGACAGGCTATCTATCCAGTCATACAAGAATCCATGTAATCATAGATGCTATCAGCAGTCACCCGTCAGCGGGAATGATTTGTGGAGCACAAATCAGCATTGAGCCTGGTTAAGATGAAGCTGCAGTTGAAGTTAAAGTCACAATGTTTTAACTTTTATTTCCCTCTATATATCTATATACTTATCTATCTAATCATCTGTGTGTCAACAGTAGAGTAGTCACGGAAGATCGATTACTGGAACCTCTGTTTTCGACTTGAATGCAATGGCAAGGGTTGATGCCAATCGCTGTCCATTGGCAACTCTGTTCTAACTGACGAGGAATTACTACAAGTTCTCCACCTTTATCATTAACTGATGGTCCAATATTTTTGATTCTATTGGCTCTCAGACTTGTCCCACAACGTGATTTTCACTGCTAGAGGCTTGGAACTAACATACCTCTCACGATAGCGGTTAAGGATTTTGATATCTTCGTCCGGAAAGATGTAAAAATTGTTGTCTACTTCTCTGTTGGAATCTAGTTCTCCACAGAACGCTCGCTCGGTGAAAAAGGAGGCGCTAATGCTCTTATTTATTGTATTAGTGAACACAATGACTTTTTTTCCACTTTTTTACGAATTACGACCAACATTTACGAATTATTGATCCATGCCGAGGTTAGGACGAAGTTCCCAAGATTTCGGTGTACTTTGCGTAGTGCGAAGCGGTATCCTAGCACAGCGAATGTTGGGAATACGATGACGTAATTGATCTCTAGGTCTTAGCGTTGTGACAACGCAATCGACATTGTCCATATATAATATTTAGAGTAGGCATGCACATAAATTTATATACCATTCCATAGATGTTGTATATCAGTTAAGACTTTATAAGAGGTTTGCGACCATATGGCGACTTATGTGTACGTCCAAGAATAACGTAGTTGTTTTGTTCTTGGTTACACACAAGGTATTTTAACGTGAGAGAGGCATATTACCCATTCATGTGATTGATGAGTCAGTGGAGCCCTCATAGGAAACTGAGTCTCTGAGCAGATTGTTTCCAATGGAACTGAAATGTAGGTTCTGCGTTTTTCTGTTAAGGTTGTGGAGGTGCGCACTAAGAAGAAAGCGTATTAATTTGTCTTTACAGGCTTGTAAGAATAAATAGTCAACCAGCGCCTTTATTCATAGTGAATGGATTTTTAGGCTCTAAAGTAGTCACCTTTTACTTACTGCCTATTCTTTTTCCATGGTAGCGTATAATGTGAAATATAACTATAATGATGCTGAGATACACCAGGTAATATAACTACATAGTAAAATAACCTCGTCTATGTTTGTAGGGAAAACAGAGAGTTATTAAGCAGTTCCGAGATTTATAGAAAGTCGGCCATGGGAATAATTTAACCCTTCAAATTTGTACAGCTATGCTTTAACTCGTAGTAAACTTCACTACTTGGACTAAAGGACTTTGCACTCCACACATTCTTGCCAACACGACACAAGAAATCTTCCACCATTCAGCAATTGGAGTTTTCTGGATCTTACAAATCATTGAATCGTTTAGTCTCTCTTTTTTTCGACGACGCTCGGATTTCGTACAAGGCAGGATGTCGTCCAGTAGGATGTGATGTTGTTCAAGAAAGCGCCACTGAAGTTCATCGGATTCTTGAGAAGCAGTAAGCGACCATACCACACCTGTTTTGCCTGCCTTACATCACATGTGGCATCAAACTCTTCTCAACCTAGAATTCTTTCATGGCATTACTGCGAATCAAAAAGATTCTGAAGAACAACCTAAAATTGTTCCGCTTGGATCAGTTTTTTACGCGACCTATCATCACAACTGTATGGATCCCAGAAATTCTTTCACTCCATTCGTTTCCTCGCATCAATTGTCCACAATGTCTTCGAACTTTACGCTTGTTGAATCAAGCGTTGCTTGAGGACTGTCGCTTTCCTCGTGAATGTCGTTGAACCGATCGAATAGTTTCCCCTTTAAGTCATGGGATTGTCGGGCAAGAGCGTTCGCACGTGTATTTCAGTAAGTTTTCTGTTCTCAGACAACAACGAATTTCCTGATCCCTGAGTGATTAGAGGCGTGACGGGATCGAACAGATTTTCATATGTATGAGTGACTACTAAATAATTTGAAAGTATTCTGTTCTTTTTTGTTCTGTCTCCCGTTCCTTTTTCCGAACAACAATCTCCTAGTGAGTCGAGGGAAAAACAGTGATTTGATGAAACGGAAGTGAAGTCAACTTGACAGAATTTGATAAATGTGCATTCTCATATAGGAAATGGTTCTGCACTTGGCTACCGTAAATTTACGACAACCAGAACACAGAGAAGTGCTACTCGGGTCATTTTTCCCAGGGTTATTTTGTAAATGCGGAGACTACATCAGCAATAGTACCAACGATAAAACTTGGGACCAAAATCGCCAACGGAATTCTCAACTCGTTTTTTTAAACTGTGAATCGTCATTATAAATAACTATAGCTCTTGAATTCTTGTGCATTAGCTGCGAAATTGGCGTTTTCTGTTTTCCTTAAGGGAAATAGAGATTCGTCCAGCAACACAACTATGTAGTATAGGCTAAAGTGGGCGACAAAAGCACAATGGTTAAAGGTGCCGCGCAATACACATGTGGTTGTTGGTTCGACTACTATCCCGGCTAACCAAGCTTTGCATCCATTGGATGTCGGCATATTGGTGCTAGGCATGTCTGGTGGGATAGCAGCACTGACTTGACGCATCTGTGGGCTATCAGAACTCGTTATATAGGCCAGATGAATTCAGTTACCTTCAGCGATGCTTAGTGGAGTTAAGTGCATAACGTATTCCCGAGTGATAAATCCACATCGAGTGCTTTATCGTTCGTACTTTCATCGAGCCGTGTCGATCCCATCGTCGTGTCCTTCAGAATGGATAATAAGGATAGCTTTTTTGCGTGTAGCTCCTACTGTGAAGCGAATACGCGTCGGCACTGAAGCATTCGATGTTTGTCGGGAAATTCTGGAGACTATTATCGTTCGTTGTCCTTTTCCACATCCGCTTTTATGAGTGCGAGATCGTTGAACGACTTCTCAATCGCAATACTTGCGTAATTCGACTCATACCCTACTCGTAAGCGTTACTGGTTTTACTGGTTATCCAGTCTCCTGAATAACCAACAATTCGCAAAGACAGTTTTAAATTACGCTTAGACCAGTGTCCTGAAGTACCAGCGCTCTTTTCCCTCCGTTCCAAATCACAGCAAAAAGTAGCGTAGATAGGTGTCCGGTAGCAAATAATTCTTATCTTAACCTTTTCATTCGCTGCCTACTTCATTTTTTAACGGCAAGGTATCATGTGAAATACAACTAAGATGATGCTGAGATATTTGCAAATCAGTCCCGTTGACGGGTGATTGCTGATGGCGCAGATCAATAGTACTAGCTGAGAGATAGGCGAAACGAAGGACCCGCATGGTGTGGCGGTGAACGCGTTACTCCCCAGAAAGGACAATTGCGTGTTCGTTCCCCGCCGCAGACACCTGCGGTCCGGAGGTTTTCAAATATCTCAGCATCATCTTAATCATCCTTATATTTGAATAAATAGGCCGATCTGAACTAAGGAAGACCAGTTTAATAGACTTTCGACTGAAACCAAGCTTCATCGTAAGAGAACCAAACCAGGAAAAATTGCGCTCTGACGTTTATCCGTAATCACGGTCTCATTGTTACGGTTGTCATGCTATTTTGTGGTAATTTGTATTTGTAGTTGATTTTCTTTCTATTCTTAGTTGTTTGGCTTTTAGAAGTTTGAGATGTTCCCTTAAGAGTATGCTGGCTGAAGACGATTCTTTACGAACATCAGTGGGAGAGATTGGTGATGGTCGACACTCCAGATACAACGGATCGGATGGCATAGTGAGTGTGTTCCAGAACGAATTCCTCAAATCTAACTAAACTCCTTCATGTTTCTTGCGAGATCGCACGAGATTGTTAGTATAAAATACAAATTCAATGACTACTGGTGCTATAGATGTCGCTTTCTTCATGGTGTTCAAAAAAACTTGTTTGCAGCATGAAGCTTGTTCAGTCAAACACTTTTATCCCCTCAACGAGGAAACTCGAAGCATAGATTTCATCCACCTAGACGGCTCTTTAAACACCCATTGTTGCTTATCATCCAGGTTTAAAGAAATTGAGCCATCCACTCAAAGTCGATATGATATCGATACTCCGTCATAGGTCAAGAATTAACCTAGGCTATAGCGTCATATCGAATGTGGTCATGGGACATCCGTCTCAGCGACATATTTTTGGATTTTCTCCATTCAATACGGGACGTTTTGAAGGTTTTGCACTCTGATGTCCTTCGTTTCTATGTTAGGATGCCAGCTTCGATTTCAGAATATTTACCCTTGCTTAGTCAACCTGTTTTTATCATAATAGCATTATTCTTGAATGTATATGTCGGTTGAATGTTGAACTTCGGACCTAATTTACAGTTTTTAGCCGCCATCTCTACTTATGGATGATGGTGATGAAGTAAATCTTGTAACTGAGGCACAATCGAAACTTCGACTAGGAGATTCCTTAGATTCTGGTCCAAATCTCGTTCCTGAAACGTCGGGGTAAGTTCGGTGCATAATCTTTTTTTACGATTTAATGGTGTTTCGTTCTAGTAGGTGGCTCTTTTAAAATACTTTCCTATGGAATTGGTTTTGTGAAGTTGTGAAAAAAGAATGAAGAAATTCGATTTATTTTATGCTTTCTGAAATGCTTTGACGGTTCTTTAGCAATCCTCTCACGGCTTCTTCTAAACTTGACACTGGATCATATCTTTGTGCACTTTCTTAATTTTGCCGTCCATGAGGCGCGAGTGGCGCAGTGGTCAGAAGCGCTCTGCAATACACATGGGATCGATTTCCACCATCCAAGCTAATCAAGCCATCCATCCTTGGTAAATTGTTACCAGAGTTGTCTGGGAGGATAGCAGCACTGGCTCGACACGTCGGTATGTCACGCCGACTCATTGTAAAGGCCAGATGTGCATTCAGTCACCTCCAACGATACTTAATGCAGTCGAATGCATGGCGCATCTCTAAGGGATCAATCAACGCCGAGAACTTTATTCTTTTTTTTATTGTTATGTTCATTCGACTAGTGAGAATGGTTACTTAGGCGTTGTTTATTATTTCGTTATGATCAGAATTTAGCGATGCAGCTTTTTTTATACTGTTAGTTTAGTAAACTCCTCATTAATAAGGTGGATATCCGTCCTTGGTATCCATTCTCGATTTCTTTCTTTTTCTCCAGTTCATTGTCATGGATGTTATGTCTTAAGGAACTGTTACGATGTATCGGAACCGCAATACTAATACTACTTACTTACCTACCTGGATACTTGGGCGGACCGTCCTCACTGGTTGAGCGAGCCCCATCATAATCTCCATTATTTCTGAGTTGTGCTGGTGCAGCTATTGTGGTTCTCTGGAGTCCAGAGGTCAGCCAGGCCAACGTCTGGGTCCTTGTGGATCAGAGGGCGATTTGCCACTACGCGACTGGTTTCATACCATGACAGTAGTGGATCCTGGTATTGGTTTACTCTTGGATGAGCTTTCCGATGGAAATGCCGGTACTAATACTGACTGTTAGTTTTGCTCTGTGTGTCTGTAGTTCACAATAGGTGAAGTGCTCAGGGGTGATACTTCTCTGTACTGAATCGGAATGTGTTGCAGAGTCAGCCTCAGCTCAAGTAATCCGACGAATACATCACCTGTCGAGTCTACTGTGATCAACAATTTTGTTTTGGATGTTCGTATCACGGACTTTGAGAAGAAAGGCGATGGAATGAATGCTTTCATTGTATACAAACTCATAACCAAGGTGAATTACCAACTGTTCATTGCAAACCTCAATTTTCTGTTGTTTTCTTTAAATTTATAGGTGTATTTTCGTTCGTAAAATGTTGATTTATGACGTTACGATTATTTCGTTTTCATATCCACTATTTCGTGCACTTTTGCTCTAGTGTTTATTCATAATCTTTACACTTTTTAAGGCTGAAAATGCACCGGGGATTTCTGACCGAACCTACGAAGTGTGGAGGCGTTTCTCAGATTTTTTGGGTCTGCACGACAAACTTTTCGAGAAGTACATATCCAAAGGCGTTGTTGTACCAGCTGCTCCTGAAAAAAGCATTACTGCAATGACTAAAACTAAGTTTAGTTTTCTCGTAGGGGATATTTTGGTGTAGTTTCTTTATGCTGAGGTAAATCTATTCTATTTCCTATGTTTTTAGGCTACGTCAGATCCGGCCACTTCTCGTGAAGTAGCTGTTCGAAGAGCACGACAGTTGGAGCGTTTTATGAAACGAGTCATTCAACACCCTAGACTTGCCGTGGACTGCGACGTTCGTGATTTTCTGACAATTGAGGTAGATGGATGTGTTTGTATGATTTGTCTTACATACTTTCATGTCGTTTTCTTGTTCAACAATCGCGAGGTTTTTAAACAGCATACATTTACTTCCATAGAAAAACACAATACAATACAACACTAGCTGACGTTTCGGCAGTATCGCCTTCTTCAGAGCCGCTTTTTCGTGACTTCGTGGCTTGGTGGGATGGTGCAGTCGTCAACTATATGCGACTATAATCAGCTGTTCTAAACTTCCTCATTGGAAGTCACGAAAAAAGCGGCTCTGAAGAAGGCGATACTGCC